TTTTCCTCGCCAACAGGGCGAGGGGGGGGGAAGAAAAAGGAAAGAAGAAGGGCCACCAGCAGAAATTTCGGGCAATTGCAAAGAGCTCCGAAAAAGAAGTCTGGATTTTTAAAAAGAAACGCACAAGCAAGAGAGCTCGCTGGATTTTGCACAGAGCGGCCATCTCAGCTGGGAGCAGTTCTTTTGGGGGTTTCCCCCCCGTTCCTTTCGTCTTTCAGTCTGCGAAGTTACTTTGTATGTACTCCTAACAGGAGGGTCTCATCTTCGGATCCTAGGACGAGGAGGGGGGGGGAATGGTTCTTTCCCTCCGCAATGGTTGGGGATTAAGCCTCGCAAAGGGAGATTCCAGGAGCGGTTGCGTTTCTGGAGCATCTCTCCCCACACCTCTCGTGTAACCCCGAGGGACAGTCGCAACTCTTGGAGGACGCTCTTCCTTCCTAGCCAAGGTAAAAGGGTGGAGAAACTGCTCCATTTTTTTTTTTGCAGCTTCCCTTGATTCCCCGCTCGCTCCCTCTCTCCCTCCCTTCTTCCTCGCATTTGTTTTACTGCTCCCTGCCTGTGCTGCCTGCAAAGGAGGAAGGCGGGGGGGGGAGTGTGCAGCGTTTTTAGACATTGATTGCGCATGTTGGTCAGTCATGTTTTAAAAGGGAGGCGGCAGGAATGTATACAACAACTTTTTAAAGGATCGGGAGCCTCGGGGAAACGTTTCCTCGGATTAATGACTGCGGCAAAGCTAACCCCAGAAGGTCTCCACGAAGGTGGGTGGGCAGGAGAGGGGGCGAAAGCACAGTTTGTAGCGGGCAGGGGGGCGGCAAGGTGATCCAGGGGCAGGAAAGGGCTGGAGAATGGGATGGATCCAGAACGGGGAGGGGTGGAAAAGTCCGTCTGGGTGTGTTGAGGAATTACGTAGCGCGTGTCCGGTATGTGCAGAAAAAAGGGCTCGCGCGGCAAATCGGGAGAGACGCGAGTTTCATTTTTGTTGATACGCAGCACGTTTTGGAGCCTTCGCGTGGCTGGGAAGCGGGTGCGCCCACATGATCGGCTCCTCTCTCACGTGCTGGGGTTGTGGGGTCCCTGCCAGCTTCTGCCACAGACATAAACAATGCGCCCCAAGAGGCAGAGAGCCGAAGGAGCGCCGCCGTCCTTTGCCGAGCGAGGGTGGGCGAAAGAGAGAGGAGCCCTCGTGGGGAGGGAGGGAAGGGGTGTCTTTGAATGGGCCAAGCTTTTCCGGGGGCGCTGGTGGCTTTGGCAGCCGCCCTGTAACGTCGCGAGGAGGGTGGCGGGCAGGGAGACTGGCGGCGGCGATGATGATGATGATGATGATGGGGGAGGCGGGCGGCGAGAGCGCCACGCCGTTGGGGGGGGGTGCATGGAGAGATTTGGGAGTGGAAATGTACAGGCTTGAGCTGCGCGGTGGGGATGAGGACTGTAGGGGGCGTGGCTGTTGTTTACCTTCTCAAA